TGCTGGATTGCTGCCAAGGCTTATCTGTGCTGGATTGCTGCCTAAGCTTGTCTGTGCCGGTTTGCTGCCAAGGACCTGTCCATCTGTTAATTAAATGCCGTAACTTATCTTTGGTTCGGAGTGTGTTGGTGTGGGACGAGGGGGGTCAGAACAGATACTTCTATTTTTTGAAATGCTTATTGATCTTTTACATTGTCTATTTATCCATGGATATGTATCTTGTATGTTTTCATTTCTCTTTGGTTTTCTTTGATGTTTATTTTTTTAATTTGTGTATAACTTTCTGCATTATTCCTCCCCCCCTTTTGTTTGTCTTTCATATTCAGTTAATATTAAAAATGGAGAAAGCATTTCCACTCAAAGTATTCTGGAAATAACTATAATCCCCAAATTCTTGTATAAACAAAATACGGTCAAGATTTCATAGCACTTTTGGATTCTGTCCAGTTGGTCAAATATCGCAGCCGGTCCATAGTTAGGGGGCATGTTTGGTGGTGTTAGACTTCTGCAATGAACATTGTAAAGGAAAGCCATAGGAGGTGGGTCATTCAGCCACTCTTTACTTTGAACTCTTTTTCTTGGAGGATTAGACAAATGAACACGTTCAGGTTGTGCCAATTCAACAGACCAGTAAAGTTAATGGAGTCCCGTTTGCGACTCAGGGTATTTGTTGCTGAATGGGTTAAATGACTGGGTCAGTTGACCCCCATTTTGTTTTTTCCCATAATGCACTTACCCTTCCATTTACCAAGTTAAGCTTATTGTAGAAACAGGTCCACAGTGTGAATAAACGCTGATTAGAGTGAATTTGTGCTCTCTGTGGTGCTGGAATTCTCAACTCCACACATATTTTTTGTTTGATTTTCAGTTTTCATACCATTGGGCAATATAGTATTGTAGGCTTTCATGATCCATTAACATCACTGCTCAGTCAAAGATTGCAATCCAGGGATGTGTTTTGCAGTCCAAAGGTTGCTCTCGTTGGCAAAACTACTTTTCGTCTTTATTATATATCTTTAACCCTCCCGATTTCAGAGATGTCGGTTGGTGAGCTGTAGTTGGGAGTAAAAAGGGAGAAAATCTTATTGCATGAAGGAAGCACAGTTGTTTAAGATTAGATCTGTTTGAAGTTTGTTTACAGTCCAAGACCAATCATTTAAAATACATGAAATAGAGCGTGTGTGGGTGTTAAGAATCAGGATAGGAGGAATATGGATGCCTTTGAACATTTGGGTTGGGGAAACTTCTGAGAATGTCGACAGACAAGAACACACAACCCCAGGGATCATCAAACAAATGAACTCAGAGTTCTTACTTGAGGCTCAAATTATGACCAGGCTCAAAATATCCAACTTTGGATATGTTATGCAAAGAGTCAGATCTCTGGAGTAGTTTCTAAGACTTAGAAAGATGGAAGCAAAGAGAAGCCATGATCTGTCCCATCACGTAGTGTAAAAAGATGATGACTATCCACATGCTGAGTGGAGATGTAGAAAGCTACTATTCCGGTTCACAAAAGCAGTTGAACTACCTGGCTATAAACTTTGCATGTGGGCAAGATGCCCCGGTGGCCAATCCTAAACAGAGATGTGACTCTTTGTCATGGAACTACATT